TGCTTCGGCCGGCTCGGTGGGGAGGTGGTGGGTAGGTGCTTCGGCTGGCTCGGTGGAGAGGTGGTGGGTATGTGCTTCTGCGGGAGGTGCTAAGGGGGGGTGGGGGGTAGCTCTTTTCCGCATGTACTGTCATTCTGGTGCGAGCTCCCGAAGTTCCAGGGTGCTTTGACGCTGTGTGTGTAGCAGGAAAAACAAATGAGAAAGGAAAAAAAAAAACAAAAAAAAAAAACAAAGAGAAAAGAAAGCTCCGGAAACAATATCTGTGTTCCGTTTCGCTTTGCTTTCGTTGGGGTGACTTTGCTGCGTTTGGGTTCGTTCCGTTTCACTTTGCTTGCACTGGGGTGGCTTTGCTTCGTTTGGGTTCGTTCCGTTTCGTTTCGTGTCGTGATTGCTGTGTGGACGCCGTGTCAGACTGCTCCGAGCTTGCGAAGTTTCAGGGAATCTCTGACGCTGCATCGCTGTGAAAAAAAAAAAAAAAGGAAAAAAAAAAAAGAAGTGGGACGATGGACGTGTTGTGGTCAACGGTTTCGTGATGGTTTGCTATAAATTATACGGGTAACAGATAAACATTTGATTTTTCAACCAAAAAAAAACGCCCGTTCTCAGATGTCTGCGAGGTTCCGAAGTTCTGGGGTGTGTCTGACACTTGAGGCGTGGTGGTCAGCGGTTGACGGTGGCCACGGGGGTAAGGCTAATGAAGTAATATCAATATCAATGATTATTTATTACTAATAAAGTATCGATTGAAAAATGGTAGGAATAATATTATATAATATTATATATTGTTGTATAGTTGTATATGCAGGGGATTGTCATATGACAGGCAGTGGCAACGGTAAGTGTTACGGGATTGTTAAGCACGGCGCCCCCGCCCCCCCCCCATCCATAGAGCTAAAACAGTGATACAGAAAGCACCAGCCATACACTAACAAAGAAAACATAGAGTCAGAGACAGAAAGAGCGAAGTGAGATTCTTCATTGGGGTTGCTTCCAGACTTTTTTCGCGGGCGGAGCTGCGCTGGCTGCACCTGCTTGTTTTTATTATTATTTATTGTTTGAATACAAGGGGAGGAGAAAATGAGGAGGAGAGTGGTTGGCGATGAAGGAGGGAATTATCATTGGTCTTTGCTGGTGTACGTCTTCTTCTTCTTCTTCTTCTTCTTCTTCTTTCCCTCTCTCTCTCCTCTCAAGTTCATTCATTTCTTTTTGCAGTTAGACGGCATTGTGCTTTCTCATGAATGTGTATTTTGAAATTGGCCAGGATCGTAACAATGTCATTGTTGTGCAGGCGCCCTGCTAATCTTCTCTCGATAATAGGGCTCCCATTTTAACAGGGGTCCAAAGGGGCGGTTCAGACTTCCATCTCAACCCAATTCATTCTTTGTTTCCTTGATTGGTTCTCCCCCCTCCAGACTGACCTTGCAGATTCTGTGGCTCCTTTCTGATGCCCCGATAGGCACTCCTCCGAAAAGGACTGCCGTGCCCTCTTGACAGTGCCTTGCGTAAGAATTGTGAGAGACCGTGGTTGACAGCACCCGTGAGACTCTGACATGAGTCGAAACTTCGGATGGTTAGTGGGGTTTACAGACAACCTGAGTTTAGCTCATAGTTGCGGCGCACCAGTGCGCAGTGCGGGGCGGGGCGGTGCGCACTGCACTGTGCGCTGGAATGACAGCGCACGCACAGTGCGGTCCGCTGTGCACGGTGCGCGCGCTGAGGGAGGTGCGCCCTGTGCGCGAAAAAAAAAAAAAAAAAAAAGGTCCCAGAGAGAGATTACGTGCGTACCTGATTCATCGGCCCTTCGCTCTCCACCACCCAACGTATGAATGAATCTTCCGCCAGAACATGGATAGATACACCGCCATATTTTTTGTCCTTTGTGCATGTCGCCCCGCTTCCCCTCGGGTTTGGTACATTTCCATCGTCATGTAGAACAAGACATATATGGCAATGTATTTTTCCATGTTCAAGCGGAGGATTCAGTCTCATTTGTTCAGAGATTCAAAAAAAAAAAAAAAAAAAAGGTCCCAGAGAGAGAGAGAGAGAGAGAGAGAGAGAGAGAGAGAGAACAAAGGGTCCCCTTCACGTCAATTCGAGGGCCCCTGCAGGTACCTCGAATGACTCCTACGATACATGTGGAGTCATTAAGGGCTACTGCGTAAATTAGAAGGATGGCCTCCTCATCTGTGGAAGAGGTGGGGCAGACCACCAATATATGCTTTGGATTCGAGTTCAGGGCTGTAGCTCTTGCGAGGATTTAGATCCTCTGCAGTGTCTGAAAGATGTCGTGCCCGCCCTAAGTGAAGGCGGGCCTGCAAATATGTGCCAATGCTTGTTTATAGGCCTATGAGACCAGGTTGAGGGGCCCAAGCAGAGCCTGTTGTAAACCCCATGTGGGCATGGATCTTTGACAAGGCCTTGTTACGAGTTGGCTCCTTGGCATGCCCCTGTAGGGCCCTTTCAGCAAGCATGAGCCCGCCCTAAGTGAAGGCGGGCCCCTGAATTTCAATATGGCCTGAGTTCATCAATTTCGGCAAAGTTTGGTGGGCGCCAGACAGTTGCCATGCGCCAGTTGGTTACATCCTCCACACTCGTGAGAATCAGAAATAATTCTTGAGCCTTCTACGCTCTTCCAGCAGCACAGGCGAGGCAGGGAGAACCTCACATTTACTCCTGGGTGGTTGGGCAGGCTCAACCAATTCTGTCCCAGGCCACTGTCTGAATGGGCCTGGGCGCAGACAGTTTGGCCCGATTGGAAGCTACTGGAAATACACGAGGCCCAGCCAGGGAGCAGACTGGGCGAGCATTTTCCATAAAGGAAAGAGCTCGCCACTGGTGGAGGCATTCGGGCACTAGACAGTGCATGTGGCAGCGCTGCTTGAGCGTGTGCTCGCGGGCTGTGCGCTGGGCACTAGCGCTAGTTGCCAGGCAGTGTGCGCGGCCGTTGGAAGAAGGCAGGGCGCTGCCGAGGGCAGCGCCATAGCCAGCCCTACATAGCCAGGGCCTGGCTTGGACAGCCAGTGGAGGTGGTGGTGGTCTTCGTGCATAAGGGAGAAGACGTGGGAGGAAAACAAGGATAGGGAGAGAGTGAAAGAGATGAGGATGATGATGTTAGGGCACATACCTGGTATTGGCGATGGTCTGCATTGGTCGACATCTTCAAGTACTTCGGTGGCTGCTGACGTCAACAGTTGCATTGTCAATTCGTAGGCAGGAAGTAGCTGTGTACGGAGTAGCCTGGGCGCCGAGCGCCGAGTAGGGAGAGAGGGCCTGGAAACATATGTTGGTGGGGACGAGAGCAAAGCTCTCATTGACATTCGATTACAGTGTTTCGATTCTCCATTGGTGTAATATTGGTGCAATGCTGCTGATCTGGACACTGTGGAACTTTCTTGCTTTCAATGTGATTGTGCAATCTGGCGTCTGTCATCTTGCTATCTCTCATCCTCCCCACCGAGCCGACCGAAGCACCTCCCCACCACCTCCCCACCACCTCCCCACCGAGCC